GGAAGAATCAATATTATTAAAATGGCCATAATGCCCAAAGTAATTTGTAGGTTCAATGTTATTCCGATTAAACTACCACTGAAATTCTTCACAGAATTAGGGAAAAAAAACTATTTTAAAATTTATATGGAACCCAAAACAGCCCAAATAGCCAAAACAATTCTAAGCAAAAAGAACAAAGCTGGAGGCATCACACTACCCAAATTCAAACTATACTACAGAGCTACAGTAACCAAAACAGCATACTACTTGTATAAAAACAGACACATAGACCAATGGAACAGAATTGAGAACTCGGAAATAAGACCACAAACCTACAGCCATCTGATCTCTGACAAACCTGACAAAAACAAGCAATGGTGGAAAGATTTCCTACTTAATAAATGGTGCTAGGAGAACTGGCTAGCCACACGCAGAAAACTGAAACTGGACCCCTTCCTTACACCATATATAAAAATTAACCCAACATGGATTAAAGATTTAAATGTAAAACCCAAAACTATAAAAACCCTAGAAGAAAACTGAGGTGATACCATTCAGGACATAGGCACAGGCAAAATTTCACAAGGAAAATGCCAGAACCAATTTCAACAAAAGCAAAAACAGACAAATGAGATCTAATTAAACTAAAGAGCTTCTGCACAGCAAAAGTCACTATTATCAGAGTGAACAGACAAACTACAGGATCAAAGAAAATTTTTGCAATCTATCCATCTGACAAAGGTCTAATATCCAGAGTCTACAAGGAACTCCAACAAATTTACAAGAAAAAACAAACCATTAAAAAGTGGGCAAAAGACACAAAAAGACACTTCTCAAAAGAAGACACACATTTGGTCAATAAACATTAAAAAATTTCAACATCAGTAATCACCGGAGAAATGCAAATCAAAATGACAGTGAGATACTATCTCATGTGGTCAGAACAGCTATTATTAAAAAGCCAAAAAAACAACAGATGCTGACAAGGTTGCAGAGAAAAAGGAATGCTTTTCCATTGTTGGTGGGTTTGTACATTAGTTCAACCATTGTGGAAGACAGTGTGGTGATTCCTCAAAGACCTAGATGCAGAAATACCATTTGACTCAGCAATCCCATTACTGGGATATACCCAAAGTAATATATATCATTCTATTATAAAGATACATGCACGTGTATGTTCGTTGCAGCACTATTCACAATAGCAAAAGCATGGAATCAACCTAAACGTCCATCGGTGACAGACTGGATAAAGAAAATGTGGTACAAATATACCATGGAATACTATGCAGTCATAAAAAGGAACAAGATCCAACGGGCGCAGTGGCTCATGCCTGTAATCCCAGCACTTTGGAAGGCCGAGGTGGGCAGATCACAAGGTCAAGAGATCGAGACCATCCTGGCCAACATGGTGAAACCCCATCTCTACTAAAAAAAAATACAAAAATTAGCTGGATGTGATGGCGCACGCCTGTAGTCCCAGCTACTCGGGAGGCTGGGGAAGAAGAATAGCTTGAACCTGGGAGGCAGAGGCTGCAGTGAGCCAAGATCGCACCACTGCACTCCAGCCTGGCACCTGGTGACAGAGCAAGACTCTGTCTCAAAAAAAAAAAAAAAAAAAAAAAAAGGGAACAAGATCATGTCCTTTGCAGGGACAGGGATGGAGTTGGAAGTCATTATCCTCAGCAAACTAATGCAGGAACAGAAAACCAAACACCACATATTCTCACTTATAAGTGAGAGCTGAATGATGAGAACACACGGACTCATGGAGAGAACACACTGAGGCCTGTCAGTGGCCATGGAAGGAGGGAGAGCATCAGGAAGAATAGCTAATGGATGCTGGGCTTAATACCTAGGTGATGAAATGATCTGTGCAACAAACCACCATGGCACATGTTTACCTAAGTAACAAACCTGCACATCCTGCACATGTACCCCTGAATTTAAAATAAAAGTTGATAACAAAAAAATATTGAGGTCTACTTAGTCTTTTCAAATAAATAGCTTATTCTTATCTAAAAAAATAAAAATAAAAATAAACACTCTTCGAAAAACAAACAAGAATGTGATGAGACACTTAACATGATGTTATCCTAGAAAGAAATACCTTTAATATAATTTAACGAGATATTTTGTGTTGGTGGGTAATACATGATCAAAGTGACAGGTACAAGAAGGCTGAACATCACATCCAAAAGATCAGTTATTTTAAAATATAACTCTTTGACTTTGAAATGTACTGATTTTTCATAAGGAGAATACCATTATAATGAAAATCAAGAGTGTATACAAATAATTTTGTTAAATTGAATTCTGCTTTATGAGATAGTTATTGTACATAGTTGATAGTATATAAATTATTATTTGAATTTAATATGACTTGAGTATTACTAAGACCTTGAAATCATTTTTGTAACTGAGACATTGATGTTGTATACCAAAGCACTTTTAAGAAATCAGTGAATATTTCGAAAACATTGACAACAATCTTAAGGAAGACAAAATTAGCAATTATATTCACATGTAACTGAGAACTGTCTGGTATGTAAAAGGTAATGAGTTCCCTTTCAGTGTCTTACCTACTTGTGAGTCATGAAAAGTTTGAATCTGGGAACATCAAAATCCTCTAAAATTAACATAATCACACTTTTTTAAAGAGACACATTTCTTTCCAATCAAACAAGATTATTCAGGTCATTTTCATCTTTCTAATTTTATAGGTGGGCTCAATAAATGTTTGTAGATGGTTATAATCAGTTTAGAACATGCTGTAAAACACACACACAGACACACAAACACACACACACATTGGACTAGCATTACCCTTTAATGTAAATTTACTTAGAATACTTTATATTAACTTCTTTAGCAATGTACTTGACTAAAGAAAAATATCTATTAGTTTCGGTTGGAATATAAAAAATAGTTTCCCTGTGATACTCTCTCTGTTTTTAAGCAATATGTCAGCAACCTTTGTGATTAGCAAGTTTTAAGTGACCAACTCTAATTTTCCATTGTTATAGAGCAAATAAGGGTATACACTAGCATTAATGTACTTGTTTTCACCAGCCATCTCCAAAATGAAGGTCATTTCCCTATTCCCACTCCTTATAATTGCATAGAAACAAAACCTTAAATGACTTGCGAGAACTCATTTAAAACTGTCCCCCAAAAATTAGTGATATGTATGAAAAAGTATAAAAATACTCATATCTTGGCCATTAACTTTTACATTTGTAACTAATTCTAGTGAAATAATATAAATTGTACATGACAAAAATGTAGGTACAATGATGTTCAGCACAGCAATATTTATAATAGGAAAAAAATAGAAACACACAAATGTCCAAAAATGCGAGGCTACTTTAAAAAATTATAGTGCAGCCATATAATGTATAAGTAAATAGCAGTTTTATTAAATCATACTTACAAAAAAATAGGGAAATTATTAAAATATCATTTTAAATGGAAAAGTGGAATTAAAGCCTATATATGTAGGACTATCTCCACTTGTTACACACACACACACACACACACACACGTGTGTGTGTATATATATATATATATATTCTTCATGTACATATAACATATATACATGTAAGGATATATATAAAGAAGATATATTTTTTAATATTACAAAGTACAAAGATGATAAAAATCACCCATAATTTTGATGTGCTAGAAGTAAATGCACCAAAATATTAATGTTTATCTCTTCAGAAAATTATGAGTGTTTTTATTCTATTTTTTGTAACTTTTTTGGCATTCCAATTTTTTTGTGAAATTACTCAGAAAAACAAATGAGTTTTTTTTCTTTTTTTTAGACAAGGTCTCGCTGTGTTGCCCAGGCTGGTCTTGAACTCCTGGGCTCAAGCGATCCTCCTGCCTCAGCCTTCCGAAAGTGCTAGGATTATAGGCATGTGCCATTGCATGCAGCCTTTTTTCTTTTTAACATAAAACTGTTTAGTGGGTGGCTAAGACAGACTTTAATGAAGTCTCCACAGTTATCTAGTATGAATTTCACACCAGACATTAGTGTTGTTAAGACTGCCAAAGTTAACTATTAAGATATCATCAGGGAGGCACATGTTTGGAATTGTCTTTCCCGTAGCAGATTATCGCCTTGTACTAAGTAAAAATATGTACAAAGTCTATTCTCATAGCTACTCCCCTCCCCACATCCATCTCACAAAAAAGATAAGCAGAACATATTTACATGATCTGAGGAAAGATCAGCATAGTTATTCACCCAAGTAACCTTTGGGTTCTTTGAGTCCCTGGAAAAAGGGACTCACATCTTATGTTAGGAGGTATAATGTAAGGTCGGCCTAAAGGGAAGTTCCCTCACAAATTGTGGGTTAAGGACAAAAATTTAAATCTATACCACTGCATAAATTTATTTAAGCTCTGCCTTTAAAAAGTCCAATACATAAAATCTGGACTTACATAATAAAAAAAAGTCAGAATCATTATGTATATCATCAAAGGATTATTCACCTTATGAAAGACTTTATCACAGAATTCCTATAAATAGCTGCTTTGCTCATACATTTTCACATTTTAAAAATACTTTCCTATTTGACAAATAAGATGCCATGTTTCTGAGGCAAGTTAGTGAAATTCTCTAGGTCTCAGTTTCGTCATCTATATAATAAAGACGGTTTTAACCATCCTACCTGCCTCATTCAGTTTTCATGATTATCAAAGAAATAATTTATATAAAGGTACTCTGAAAATTCTGTGTGTGTGTGTGTGTGTGTGTGTGTGTGTGTGTGTGTGTGTGCGCGCGCGCGCAACTGCTATTATTGCTAAAAGATAATGTGGGGGAAAACTTTAAGAATTTTATTATTACCAAATACACACTTTTTCACATCTTAACAACTCTTTAAATAAAGGATAATTTTAGATGACATATTCATATATAAAAATCAAATCTTTTATTTCCTCATTATTCATTTTTCCCACATTTTTAATTCTTCTGCAGTTACTATATGTCATAATTTCCATGGTATTAATACCTGGATTATAAGAGGCTCCAGCAGCTTCTCTACGGTGAATGTTTGGACCTGCAGATCCTGAGGATCAATATTCAGAGTGACTGGTGTTTCAGCTGACATGCTGCCTGTGTACAAACACAAAAAGATGCTTATTAATAAAAAAAAAATGTTTTCTAAAGAAGAGCACTCATGAAAATCATGGAGTAGGTAAAACTTGTATTCAGCACCTCTTCTTGATATCAGTTGTAGCCCTCAGAGGACAAGGGTACAAAATCTACCTTCAGAGAAAGAAGATATTCACCGACTCTTCTCTGAGGTCATGCTGTCTGGTCCTTTAATAAATTAATCTGCACCAGTATGTTCATGACTAAATTGATAACTCATCCGAGGTGGGTTTGTATTTGATCAGTAGTCTTAAGTGATCAGAATGATGAGACATATCTTACAGCATCCAAGTCCTTTGACTTCTGTGAAATCACAGCATTGAGGCAGCCTATGCCCATATTTTGATTCTTCTTGTTAATGATGACTTAGACAAGGAAGAAGTAAAACTTTGAAAGACATGGGAACGAGTAAAGATACATCTTTACTTGATCTGAAGATTGTTTATTTGAGGGTTTTGATTGGAGACGGTTAAGGGCAATCTACCTTCTTGGACCAGAAAGAAATTAATATAAATTGCACAGTTGCTGTTAAAAGAAGCCCTGGAGAAGGCATTTGATATTTGGGCAAGACAAAAGAAGAAGAAGAAAAAAATGCAAGCCATTCTTTAAGGCATTAATATTATCCTTAAAAATCAATTCAGTGAGATTTTTGCCTAACTATATACATATATATCAAATGATTATATGTGGCATATCATATTTGGATTAACATTCAAACACTCTAGCCATGTTTTCAAATAGCTATATTATTTATTCATCTACTAAAAACTATAGTAAAGTGTTAAGAATTTTATATGAAACCCACTGGCATCGTTGATTGCAAAGAGAGAGCACACTTCCTGAAATCTAGCACATTCCTAGATAGTTCTCTTTCTCCTCATGAAAATAACCCAAATGACCTGCCAAGGGCCCCATCTGCCCCTTCAAGCCTGCCAAGCATGTCCTTGTTCCTAGTCTGTGCTTAACTCTATCATAAGCCACTTACAAGGTGGCTACAATTTCTTTACTTGAAAAAATAATTATTCAAATTCTATTAAGTGAAAATATATTACTTGAATTTCTTTTCAAATGAAAGTTTCAAATTACTGTTATTAGCAAATGATATATCAACATATAAAGTCACAAAGCCCCACAATTTAGCCCTTTTCTGCTTTGCTTCTCTCTCCTTTGCATTGATTTTATTTTCCTTCTAAAAGTAGAAACATGGTCTCTTTTCTCAGCAATGTAGGAGACATGCTTCAAGAAAGGAGCTTCAAGAAAGGCTCCAAACACTATTGCCAAACGGTTTCTTTCAAATGCATTTCTAGAACTGAAATGTTTTGGTTTGGATTTTAGTTTTTCAATCATTTCACCTACCACCTGGATTCCTTCTAACACAGGCAAATCTAAATTGACAGATAGCCTTTTCCCGTGGTGACCTTTCTGCACAGCCCAGAGCCAATCTACGCAATAGGGTATATCCTTCAGTGTATATCCTTAGAGTTCTATCAAATAAGTGCTCACAAAGGATTTCCTTGTTACCCTTCTATGACATAAAAATCAAGTTAAGATTGCTGCCATTGCTTTGTTCTTTCATCTCAAGGACAAAAGTAGAGGAGAGTGTCGTGAACAAATATAAAATCTAGGTAAACCTTTGCAGTGTTTAAAAACATGTCCCTTTCACTGTGAAATTCACGATTGGTTTCCAAAGCTATATGACCACCAGAAATTGAAAGTAAGAAAAATCAAAAATTAAAGAGAGCAAAAATTATGCATATCATATGTAAATCCTTCTAGAAGAATTTTTCAACCTAGAAGCATCTTTCTAAAAGGAGTGCTTTTTAGCCAAGAGATAAAAAGACAACCTAATTTAGCCAAAGTAGCTTCTAAGTCTGTGTTCATGTCTTTAACACAAATTAAGGTTTTCAAAAGTTCATTTTTCCATGGTAAAAATTACTTTAAAAACTAAGTCCTTAAATAACTTGGCTTCATATAATTATTAGTCTTTAAATAAATGCTATTTCTTATTTTAAAAATCTTCCTGCTCTTCTGTATGTCCTGGTCAGTATTCCCAACTGATTGGAAATAAGGGCTATCATAGGCAGAAAACTGTATAATTTTGCAAATGAAGCAAAGTCAAAGTCTGACAAATTGTAGGTACAGTAATACCACAATGCAAATCCAAACCAAAAATCCTACTAGGTTGTAAGTATTACATTCCAAGGCATTTGCATTTTATTTACTTTGTTTTTTTGAGATGGAGTTTTGTTCTTGTTACCCAGGCTGGAGTGCAATGGCGCGATCTCAGCTCACCACAACCCCTGCCTCCCGGGTTCAAGCAATTCTCCTGCTTCCACCTTCTGAGTAGCTGGGATTACAGGCATGCGCCACCACACCTGGCTAATTTTGTATTTTTAGTAGAGACATGGTTTCTCCATGTTAGTCAGGTTGGTCTCAAACTCCTGACCTCAGGTGATCCGCCTACCTCGGTCTCCCAGAGTGCTGGGATTACAGGAGTCAGCCACCGCCCATGACTGGCATTTGCATTTTATAATCTATAAAATCTTAAGAGTTAGGGGGTACCTCCCAAACAATTCAAGAACACTTTCTTCAACAACCTTCATTTCACCAATATACTGAGCTTGGAAGAATGGAAATGATAAGAAGCTCACTATGCCACTAGATGCTCTGACTTGAAACCTGCCACTTTTAAACTTTTACCCAAAAGAGATGGTTTTATAAAGTAAAAAGCACACTTTATAAAGTGTTTGGTTTGGAGAGAGAAAAATACAGTTTGGAGAGAGACTATATAACGAAATGCCAGTTTTCAGAATCAAAGGGAGAAGAACAAATCTCTTGACAGTGGTGATAGATGTCTCCAGAGAAAGACCTCAAGACGCCTACTGACGTGGATCCTTCCCTTCCCTCAAACTATCTTTGTCTATAATGCCTCAATTTTCTTCATTCCACTTTACTCCCTGCTTGAAACTGAACTTATATCAATTTACATCAATTTTTAATTCACACACATTTCATTTCTAAATGCAGTTAACTCTTGAGAGGTGATGGGGTGCACACATTCAGTCACACGTTAGTATGAACCAGCTCACTGCTCACCATCTGACACCCTGTGCACATCTCTATTACAGCATGAACCACGTTGTGTTTTCATCATGCCCCAGCAGCAAAGGAGAGGGATGATAGAAGATCAGAGAAATGCGCAGAGAGGCCAGTGGAAAAATTTACTCATTTCCAAAATTTGCCTAAAGGTGGCCATTACCTCACAAATATTCAAGAGAAAATGTTTGGCACCTACTTCTCCTCCCTACAATCACACATAACCATCCTCCCCCCACGACCCCTCACTACCCACTCCAGAGCTCAGGCTCCTCTTAGTAAAACTATAATTCTTTTACATAAGTTGGCATGGGGTGTTTTTTGGGGTTTTTTTGTGTGTGTGTGTGTGAGATGGAGTCTCACTCTGTCACCAGGCTGGAGTGCAGTGGCGCAATGTTGGCTCACCGCAATCTCTGCCTCCCCGGTTCAAGTGATTCCCCTGTCTCAGCCTCCCGAGTAGCTGGGACTACAGGCATGCACCACTACGCCCACCTAATTTTTTGTATTTTCGTAGAGACAGGGTTTCTCCATGTTGGCCAGGATGGTCTTGATCTCCTGACCTCGTGATCTGCCTGCCTCGACACACACCTGTAATCCCAGCTACTCAGGAGGATGAGACAGGAGAATCACTGGAAGCCAGGAGGCAGAGGCTGCAGTGAACCAAGATAGCAAGATCCTGAGACAGAGAGACTCCATCTCAAAAAAAAAAAAAAAAAAAAAAAAGAATTTATCTTGAGTGCATAACTGAACTTTATAGGCCTCGCTCTCCCCCATCACCATGCCTCAGAAAGATTAGTATACAGTAATGTAGTCAGGAATAATGTGAAGGATTGAAATCAAATGTTAACTTCAAAAAAAATGTAGACCATCACAAGAAGATTTAAGTAAAGGAAAAGGGGGCAAGAGAAGTTTGCTGTACAATATTATCATAGCTGATTTTATACAGCTCAGTCTTGACTAAAGTCAAATAAAATGAAAAGAAGACAACTATAATATAAAACTTTCACTGCAATCTCTATACACACTGGTTTTCCAAGCCCCACCTCCATGTTTCCAGTGTAATCATTTGTTGGTATGTTTGCACCTTCTACGCACTCATTAAACAAAAGGATCTAAAGTTTGTCAGAGAATCAACAAAATCAAGCAACTGCCTGATATATGTGATGAAGGAATAGCTGGGTCTCATTCTTTTCAAATGCTCTTCCTACACTTTACAATTATTTTTTACGTGTTTACTTAGACGGCAATAATCTGTATAAACTCTTTCATCTAGCTTTTTGGCAGGCTATAACAGCAAAATGATGTGAGATCAGAGGCATCCCTAGACTACAGGGCATCATTCGTTTATTCATTGTTTCAACTTATATTTACTGATTGTCTCTTCTGTGCCAGTCATGAGGAAAGTGTGACCATAAACAATAAAGATAATAAAAAGTAAATGATTTAGTATATTAGTAAAGAACACATGCTATTTTACAAAAAGAAAAAATAGAACAAAGTAGGCAGGAGTAGGTAATAGAGAAGTTCAGAGCAGATTTTAGTATTAAATAAGGTCAAAATTAGACTCATTGAGAAGGGGACACTTGAGCAAGACTTGAAGAGGCAAGAAAATTAGCCAAGCAGACAGTCAGGGGAAGAGCACTGCAGGCAGCTGTAACATCACAGCAGAAGCCCATGGCAGGAAAGCAGCAGCAGAACGGCAAGGAGGCCAGTGTAAGTAGGGCAGAGTGAACTACAAAGAGCATAGTAAGAGAGAAAGTCAGAAAGGCAGTGAGGGCTGCAGACCAGAGGAACTACTGCAGATGTTTGGGCACTAAAACATCAACTGTTTTATTCTTTAAAAGAATCATTCTGGTGAACAGAAT